GAACAGCAGCAGTGGAGGGGGCAGGACCTCCTGCTGGTGCAGCACCAGCTGCTGGAGCAGGCCCACCAGCCCCTACATTGCCGATGAGGCTCCCAATGTTGACGTTGGCCAGGGCCTTTGCAAACAAGCCAGGCCAAAAAGGTTCAACATTTACATTGGCTGCTTTAATGAGGGCATTGATCTGTCCTCCGTGACGGTCACCTCATTGTGGTGCAGAATGAGGGCCGAGTAGATGCAGGCGAGCTCGGAGACGGAGGCCATGGTGCGGGTGAGTGTGGGGCTAGCGCTGCCCGACGCCGTGCTAGTTGCTGGATGAAGTGAGGACCAAGTACCTTGGCGGCAGCTGAGGAAAAGCAGCCCTTTACTTCTTCACTTAAATAAATCATACTGTACTTCTCTTTCTACCGAAGAGTAGTGTAAAACCAGAAGATACTTTAGTTTGTCATGTGTTGAATAGTAGCCGGAAAGATTTTATTTCCTAGCCAGTTTTTGCCTTTTTAGGAAAAAAAATTGACATAAGTTTCCGTGGTTAAGACTTTTTCAGATGCTGCCATTTGAGGCTTGTTTCATTTAGGTTGGATTTTATTCCTTTTTTCCCTCCCACAATTTATGTTGTGGGTTTGTTGGGAAAACCAACGCAGTTTAGTGAAATAATTATGCATGTTTTTGTGTCAGTCCATTAGAACTTGAGAGCATATATTATAAGAACTATTTCAAAATGTTTCCTATACCCAAAAGCTTATTTTAGAATGTGTTCTGATTAAATCTAGGCTTGATCTGGTCACATGATGTGCTTAATATGTACACTTTTTACAAAGAATATCTGATTTTGACGGTGAACTGAAGATGAGAAAGTAAATGTCATATCTGTCTTTGCCACTGTGTACTGAGAGTGATTTTGAAGCTATTTTGGGATATGCTCTTGGAGGCCCTTCTGTAGCTTTTTATAGTACATATAGAGCTGCTACTATTTTGTGTAAGTGGGGAGTGTTGGGTTAGGACTCTTGGGCCCTGGCTCTCTTTTTTTTCCAATCTCCCAATTTATGGCTTTCTAAAAACATGAAGACCTGGGGTAAAATTAAAGGATGGAGGTGAGTAGAGGCCAGAATTCAAGGAATTTTACCATCTAGTTATTTTCTCATTCTTCTACTCTTGCAGTTCATCCCTAATATCTTAACTTTTTTCCTGGAAGAGGAAGACCAGCCTCTTTTGTTCTTGTCACATGTTAAAGGACTTTCCAAAGTGGGAGGGTTCCTTATTGCCTCTTGAGCTTTTTAATGCTCTAAAAATGTTTTACTTTGAACCTAAAGAACACGTCAGTTTCTTACTTGCTCTTACATCGCCATGATCAAAACAAAACAAAAAACTGGTCTTAAATTAAAATACTAGAGACATTACCTAAAATGGTTATGGGTTTAATTAACACATTTTGGGGAAGAATTTGATTTGTATTTACATCTTATGACTATTTCAGCATAATCCTGTGCTAAGAGAGAAGTTGTTGTTTTTAACATATGCCCTGTAGCTTGTGGAATGAAATAGTGTAAGATATATTATTTTTCTTAGCTTTATTTAAGAAAATAAATGTTTTCTTAAATAAAATATTCTCATTTATTGTTTTTCATACCTAAAACCTTATTTAAATATGAACATTTTTCTGGTTAAAAATAAATATAAGTAGAAGTTAGTCTATTTTCCCTCATACCTGAGTGGATCGTTTTGTTTTCCTTCCATAATGTGCACAACCTGCCTTAAAAATAACCCTGCTTTAATGATGTTAATGATGAAATTCTGATAGTTTATTTTCTTCTCTTTATAACATCAAATAGATTGAGAATTCAGTAAATATTAATTGAACATCTGTTGTGCCAGGCAGTGGTCTAGATGCTGAGGATATATAGCAGTCCTTAAAACAGACTCAAATCGATCCTCTCATGATGCTTAAATTCTGAACAAAATAAGTAAGAAATGAGATTTGTTAGTAGTGCTGTGGAGATAAAGCAGGGGAGTGGGGATAGGGAGTATGCAGGGTAGGGTGGAATGAGTTTACAATTTCAGTTATGAGGGTGTCACTGAGAAAACATGAAGATCTTTGGAGGCAAGGGAGCAAGCCATATGGATATTTTGGGGAAGAAGAGCAAGTGCAAAGTCCTTGAGGTGAGAGGATGCCTGGCAGGTTGAAGAACTATTACAAGGAAACTAATTTTTGTCTGGAACAGAGAAGGTAGGGGACGGAGGAAGACTAGCTGAAGATGAGTCAGAGAGGTAGGTGGAGTCAGAGCATCATTTAGAGCCTCTTTTGGGGGCCCATTATAAGGACTATGACTTTTTTTTTTTTTAAGGTGGAGTTTTGCTCTGGTTGCTCAGGCTGGAGTGCTGTGATGTGATCTCAGCTCACTGCACCCTCCACCTCCTGAGTTCAAGCGATTCTCCTGCCTTAGCCTCCCGAGTATCTGGGATTACAGGCATGTACCGCTACGCCGCGCTAGTTTTGTATTTTTACTAGAGACGGGGGTTTCTCCATGTTGGTCAGGCTGGTCTTGAACTCCTGGTTACAGGCTGAGCCACTGCATCTGGGCTCAGGACTATGACTTTTAAAGGGTCTGTGAATAATAGACCTGCGAGGGAGGTAGTGAGGTCAGAAGCAGGAAGAACAGGTTGGGAGGCTATTGTAGTTTGCCAGATGAGAGCTAATGATTGCTTGGATCAGAGGTGTAGCAGTGGAAGGGTAAGAAACAGTCCAAATCATGGGTAGATCTTGAAGTTTTTTAAAAAACCAATTTGCCAATCAGTTTAGATGTGTGTGGCATGTGAAGGAAAAGGTGGATCATTTGGAAGGATGGGTTTGCCAGTAACTGACATCGGGAAGACTTTATGGGAGGAGCAAAGGTTGGGGATAGGGACGTCATGTTGTTTGGGATGCTTATTAGACATTCAAGAACGTGTATCAAGTAGGCAGTTACAGAGGTAAGAGTCACGATGAGGGAAGAGCTCGGGGCTGGATATGAATTAGGGGAGGCTTCAGCTTATAGAGTGTATTTAGTATTTAAATTCATTGCATTACACGAGATCACTGTGGAAATGTATAAACAGAGAGGAAGCTCTAGGACAGAGCCCCAGTGCACTTCAATGTTGATGCTGGGAGATAGGCAGGAACCAACAAATTAAGGGAAGCTGCTGCCAGACAAGGAGGAAGAGAGCCATGAGAATGTGGTGATAGGAAGTTAGATAAAGCTTTGCAAAGAGGAAGGCAGACCAGCTGGATAAGATGTTGCATTTAAGTCAAGTAAGATAAGATTAAGACATTTGATTTAATCTTGTGGAAATCACTAGTGACCTTAACAAACAAGTTAATGATAACTACAGCTTGATTGGAGGGTATGTTCAAGACAGAAGAGGAGGAGGGAAATTGGAGACTGGCAATTACGGATCTCTTTCAAAGAGAAGCAAAGCAAGGGGCAGTAGCTGTTTGGGCGAGTGGGTGTAAGGTAGTTTTCTCCCTTTATGAAGACATAACAGCATGTTTGGATGGTTTGAGGAAAGATCCAATAAAGAAGGGAGAGGAAAGAGGTGCTATTCAGTGTCCTTGAATAGGTGAGAAGGAGATAAGTAAGATCTAATCCATTGGCCTTAGCCAAAAGTATGTGACATTTTACCTATACAGGAAAAAAGCCAGAGCATATGGGCACAGATGCAGGGAAATGTACAAATGCTACATGGGAACTGATGGAAATATTTAACTTGTCATGAAATAGGCAGCGGGACATCAGCCACAAGTGAGAATGGGGATGGAGATGCTAGAGGTTTGAAGAGAGAAGAGAAAGAATGATATAATTAGGAGAGAAGGAGAATGGTGAAAAAGAGAACTAATGATGTGATTGTTGGGAACATTAAGTGTTCCTCTGAAGTTAATTGTCAATTTTAGACTAATCAGCGTTGTTGAATATATTTCTTTAGCCCCTGTTTGGGTACTTAGGCTGCTGCTTATCTCCTTCCTTCAGTCCATTACATTTTTCAGAGGAAAGGTTTTCAGTGGATTTAAAAACTGATTTTAGGCCAGGTGCGTTGGCCCATACCTGTAATCCCAGCACTTTGGGAAGCCGAGGCGGGAGGATCACTTGAGGCCAGGAGTTCAAGACCAGCCTGGCCAACAGGGCAAAACCCTATCTCTACTCAAAATACAAAAATTAACCAGGCATGGTTGGGCTCACCTGGGCCCAGGAAGGTTGAGGCTGCAGTGAGCCAAGATCTCGCCACTGTACTCCAGCCTGAGTGACAGAGTGAGACACTGTCTCAACAAACAACAACAACAAAACCCAAAAAACTAATTTTACTTTTTTTTTTTTCTCTGAGACAGTTTCGCTCTTGTTGCCCAGGCTGGAGTGCAATGGCATGATCTCGGCTCACTGCAACCTCCGCCTCTTGTGTTCAAGCGATTCTCCTGCCTCAGCCTCTTGAGTAGCTGGGATTACAGGCATGCACCACTGTGCCCATCTAATTTGGTATTTTTAGTAGAGATGGGGTTTCTCCATGTTGGTCAGGCTGGTCGTGAACTCCCGAACTCAGGTGATCTGCCTGCCTGGGCCTCCCAAAGTGCTGTGATTATAGGCGTGAGCTACTGCCCCAGGCCAATTTTACTTTTTAAATAGCTTGGTTTTGGTCAAGTTTAGAGCAAGTTGCTTTACTTATGTAATCCTAGTATTACTCTCTTGAGAAAAAATCAGTTTTATTAATCTAATTTTATTATCAACATGTTTGTAGACATTTGTAGCCAAAATATATGATAACATCATTGGTATTCGCTTGCAGTTGCATTCAGCTGGTTGTAATTATTTAAATGGTATTTTTTTGAATTTTGCGTTTTATAAGCTAAATAAATCCTGTTGGGAGATTGGAGAGGTTCTGTTATGCCTAGTTCCAAGAGATTAACTTTCTAATTTTCCTTTGATGTCTAGCAAAATGACATTTGTTTCATAAATGTCTTTGTTTTTCTGTTATAGGAAACCCAGCGTTTGCTGGCAGAACCAGTTCCTGGCATCAAAGCAGAACCAGATGAGAGCAACGCCCGTTATTTTCATGTGGTCATTGCTGGCCCTCAGGATTCCCCCTTTGAGGGAGGGACTTTTAAACTTGAACTATTCCTTCCAGAAGAATACCCAATGGCAGCCCCTAAAGTACGTTTCATGACCAAAATTTATCATCCTAATGTAGACAAGTTGGGAAGAATATGTTTAGATATTTTGAAAGGTAAGTTATCTTTATCAGCATATGCTATTCGTAAAAATTCTCCTTTTACTCCTATGCATTCTGTGTTGAGAATGTAAACATTATACAAAGACCAAAGAGGTCTGTGGGAGGGAAACGAAGCTGTTCTGGGCCTGTTTTTCATGCTTTATCATACTGGGCCTGTTGCCTTCGTAGATAAGTGGTCCCCAGCACTGCAGATCCGCACAGTTCTGCTATCGATCCAGGCCTTGTTAAGTGCTCCTAATCCAGATGATCCATTAGCAAATGATGTAGCGGAGCAGTGGAAGACCAACGAAGCCCAAGCCATAGAAACAGGTATCTAATACTCATTCTCCTTCACACCACTTCCACTTTTAAAAACAAATTTGTATTACCATTTAAACTTTTCTAAAGCTCTTGGCAAGGAAAAGAAATAGAAAAAAATACAATAAATGAGATCTTGCTTATAGTAACTTGTAAATACCTCTTAACAAAATGGCCTGCTATGGAACCCCCCCAAATTTAAAGACAACCTGTAATTGGGAGATCTTGGAGTCTTTTATAACTACACCTGGTTTAACAAATACTGAGTGTGTACCATGTGTCTAGTAATATGTAAAGAATACTGGAAAACTTTTGAACTGTTGTGGTAATCCATTTGATTAAAGGATTCAGCTGTTTATGGCTAGAGAATTTGGAGTCAAGAAGCTGCTTCTACTGATTTTAAATTAGTGGGGAGAATTGTATATCCAGAAATTGACAACTTGACTCATCCTCCTGAATTTTCTAGAACTTCTGAATTTTATTGTAGTGTTTTGGTGATTGGACATACACAAAATCTTTCAGCCCTGATCCAATTTACAGAAAAAGACGTGAATTTAAGAGATTACGGTGTGACATTTCCATAATTAACTTAATAGTGTTTGTTTGCTGTTTATAGTTTGGTAAGTACCATAATGAACTAAGTAAAATAATAATCGTATATTTGTTTTTATCTACAGCTAGAGCATGGACTAGGCTATATGCCATGAATAATATTTAAACTGATCCGATCATCAAGTGTGCATCACTTCTCCTGTTCTGCCAAGACTTCTTCCTTTTTGTTTGCATTTAATGGACACAGTCTTAGAAACATTACAGAATAAAAAAGCCCAGACATTTTCAGTCCTTTGGTGATTAAATGCACATTAGCAAATCTATGTCTTGTCCTGATTCACTGTTGTAAAGCATGAGCAGAGGCTAGAAGTATCATCCGGATTGTTGTGAAAGGTTTAAAAGCAGCGGCCCCTTCCTGCTTTTACTCATTTCCCCCATCCTGGTTTAAGTATAAAGCACTGTGAATGAAGGTAGTTGTCAGGTTAGCTGCAGGGGTGTGGGTGTTTTTCTTTATTTTTTTTTGAGGGGGGAGGTAGTTTTATTTTAATTTTATGGGCTCCTTTCCCCCTTTTATGGTGATCTAATTGCATTGGTTAAAAGCAGCTAACCAGTTATTTAGAATATGCTCTCTAGCCAAGTCTAACTTTATTTAGACGCTGTAGATGGACAAGCTTGATTGTTTGAACCAAAATGGGAACATCAAACAAACATCACAGCCCTCACTAATAACATTGTGACTTTGCTGTCAAGTGTAGATTCCCCCCTTCAAAAAAAGCTTGTGACCATTTTGTATGGCTTGTCTGGAAACTTCTGTAAATCTTATGTTTTAGTAAAATATTTTTTGTTATTCTACTTTGCCTTTGTACAGTTTATTTTACTGTGTTTATTTTCCCAGTGTGACAATCGTATTTTAAAATTAAAACTGATGGAACATTCTGTCCTGGTCTTCACCATTTGACAAATTGAATGGCAAGGGGTAGATTTTGCCAGTTTCTTTTCACTGATACAGATTTGTGTTAAGATAGTGTTGAATGGAGTATTTATAAACTGGCCCTGAGCATGCATAAAGCATCAATATCTGACTTTTAACCTTCTAGGAATTTGAAATGTGTTTGTGTTGTCTGATTAGACGATCATTGGTGTCTTGCCACAATGTTGAAATATTACTGTACAGGAAAGTCACAGCAAAGAAAGCAGTTGTAACTGACATGTAGGACTTTCACACTTCTGCCACATTTTTGCTTAAAATTTGGGTTATGACCTTTTTCTTTGTTCTTGTCTGAAAATTTCATCTGTAACCTTTGGTGTGTTATTAAGAAACACTGATCTGATAATCATTTGGGATTTGCTGAGGCATTTGTGAATCTTCCTTATAAACCTGCAGATCTCAAGCATCCAGCTTGCGTGTCATCAGGAAGGTTTATTCCTTTGAGAGCATCAAATCCTCAAATCAATGATTCTTGCTTTCATCCCTCTAGTATTTGCTATGGGAGCTCCTTTTATTCTTTAATTTGAAATTCAGTAATTTTTCTTCTTCATTGACAGAGTTCCTCCCCTCACAAAATTGTTCTTTAAGTCATAAATGTAGCCAGTCATAAATACATAAATGTTAACTTTTGGGTTGGAACTTTGTCTCTTGCAGTTTAAGGTAATGGATATTGTAGCCCATTTGAATTTTCTTCACTCTTATTCTCGTAATTCTGGAGTTTCTTCAGATTGTGGTGTATTTTATTGTGCTCCTATGTAAGATGAAGAATTAACTATTAAAATTACATTTTCAACATACAAAAGCTTTTGATGACTGGTAACTGGTATCCTTCCAAATAAACGCATTGCTTGGTAACAAATGATAGCTTAATTCAGAAGAAAATTGTTAACAACCCTAATACTGTAAAATTGGAAAACTAATAACAGTTGTCATTTATAACAGTTTTTGGGCTGTTTAAAGGGTACATTTGACTACAGCTAGGAAAGCTGAATCTCACTTTGAAAGTGAACCACACAAAACTTAAAGAAATGAAATAAACATTTACCGCCCGTAGTATTGCTTGTGGTTATAGCTAGTATCACATGGTGATTTACAAGCCATGAAATTCCAGATTTAAATCTGTTGCACTACAAAAATATGTCTAAATGATGTCTGCTGAATTTGTGAGTTACAGAAGTACAGCAATAAGTCATTTTTATTTCAAATGCAGTGAGTTTCTAACTTCATGGTAGTATATCTTCTTCCTTTGCAGTTTTGATAAGAATCCCCCATTGCTTTGGTAAGACTTGCTATCTCAGCCAGTGGGATGAAACAAGTGCTGCTGAGTTAACTGAGCCTTCTTAGGACTTAAGGGCCTCTGGGAGAGGCCAAGGCAGCGGTTGAAAACTGCAGCTTCACCTGGCCTTTGGGCCTGTTTTCTCTGGCCCACACAGTGTGGCTGGTTAAAACATTCTGAATTTGCTGCCAACATTTTTAAAAATTGAGAGTTTCACATGAAAATCCAGAATTCTGGTAACTTTTGAATGATCTGCCGATCTGGCAACAGTAGACCTGACCCACCTTTGTGCATGGGACTTACTGAAAGGATCTGAGTAGCAGACATCCTGAGAACATGTCATTGTCGTCTTACCCAGTTACTCTCCAGTTGGCTAGAGTCCCCTCTGAGCACACCTGCTAGTCCTTTGTCCTTGTTAAGCCTTTGACTTTGTAACCCCTGAGCTAAAGGAAACAAATTATTCCACAGAAGTGTTTCATGTTTGCCTACTAGTTGGGGATGATTAGGTGGTAAGTGATTGGCATGGAGCTTTCCTTTGGGGACCTTATACTCTAATGGGGAAGGGGTATAGACAAATAGGTGCAACTCTGCCATGGAAAAGGGAAGTACTTGGACAGGCTGTTTTGGATTCAGGCCAGATGGACATCTCCAGACAGAGGGAACAGCAGCATCTGCAAAGTCCTGGGAGAGAAGAAAAGAATCTGAACATTGATAAGTGGCTTCCTGAAAATCAACTGCCCAGGCCGGGCACAGTGGCTCACGCCAGTAATCCCAGCACTTTGGGAGACTGAGGCAGGAGGATCACTTGAGTCCAGGAGTTTATGACCAGTCTGGGTAACATAGTGGGAGCTGGTGTCTTAAGAGAAAATTGCCCATTAAGAGGCTTTTCTGAAATCTTGAGGTGCTGATAGGAGCTTTATTTTTTTTGACTTTTTTGATTTGTTGTCTACTTCGCTGTAATTTACTTCTGCTCTAGTTATCCTTTGTCCTCTCAAGGGCTGTCTAGCAAGACCTTAGGTCTAAAATACAGTCTTCTCTTGGTATTTGTCAGGAACTGGTTCGAGGACCTCCTTTGGGTATCCAAATCCACAGATGCTCAAGTGTCTGGAATAAAATGATGTAGTATTTGCATACAATCTACACAAATCCTCCTACATACTTTAATCTTTAGATTACATATAATACCTATTATAATGTAAGTGCTATGTAAATAGTTACACTGTTTAAGGAATAACAAAAATACACATGTTCATTACAGACACAAAGTTTTTTAGAGTATTTTCTATCTGTGGTTGTTTGAACTCACAGAACCCGTGGATGTGGAGGACCGATTGTATATAGAACTTTAGAGCAGAATGTACTGTACAATTTCAAAGAAGCACTTAAAAATAAGATTAAATACAAACCAATAGATAAAAGTCACAGGTGCTATGGTTGTATGGAGAATGGGGAAGGAAGTCTGCTGTCCTACAAGATATTATGAACACAGTGACCTAAGTGGAACTAAATGGGATCATGGAAATGACAGGAATTGGCTTTTATTTTTCTATTGAATGGTTAAGGAACCTTTTTTTTGGCTACTGTAGCCACATCTTTTTTGTTAGTTGCAGTAGCAATACGACCTTTTCTAGAAAAGCTGGCCAAAAAAAGAAAATGTCATAATAAGGTACCTAATTTATTGCTTTAAGAAAAATGTAATATTTCATTTGAATAAGTACTTTTGGGCTGGGATGATATTTCATTTAGCTACTTGGCATGTCACTCATCTTAGGGAATTATATGAGGGTTTATGTTTTAAATAACAAAAAGCAAAACATGCTGACTGTAATAATTTGAGAGAAGTGTAAATAAAAATCTGTAATCTACCACCTGGACTGGAAATACGTTCTTTTCTTAACTATACACTCACCGCTGCACAAGTCTCCATTTTATCATGGAAATTAGGTCTATTCCAAGAGTTGGCTTTGTGGTACTAATTGGGTAACTTCCCATTAGCTGCCATACTGGGAGCTGGACTAGAATTTTTCCTGTTTTAAGTGTGGAACCCAACATGAGAGTTTGGGTTTCCCTGCCCCTTCCCAGTTTCATCTTTGCCACCCTCAAACTGATCTCATTTCATGTGTCTTGTGTGGCATGGTTGTGTAGCACTGGTAAGTGTATGAACGTAGATTTGATACTAAGCTGAGCCTCTACTACTGAATTGATCACGTGATCCCCCCGGCGCGCGTGCGCCCCCCCCCCGTTTCTGGTGGATTGTAGAAGCATATAGTAACTGCCTGAATGTTTAGACCTTGTTTCTTGTAGCAGAGCATTTTATAGTGCCCATTAAGGAACTTTTAACATTTTCTTTCTGCCAATCACCTGTATCTATGGGACAGAATGTTTTAGAAATTAGAAAATATTAACCCCGTTACCACTTAGAATAGCATATTTCCTTTAAAGAAAAAAAAAAGAGACTCCTGATCCATTCTTACCATATGACTGCTTTTGAAATAGTTCCATGATCTAGATCAGTGGATCTCTATAGTTCTTAAGTTTTATTATAACCTAATGCCTTTACAGAGTCTTTGGGCTTAAGGTCAAGAGTACGTATCAGATCCGGCAAAGGCAGCTTAGATGTGATAGGTTGGTTGCACTGGATTGAACTTGGTGCTGTTTCTGTTAAGTTTTAGCAGGACGCACTAGGAATGAGCAACCAAGTAGGGCCAAGTTTTTGCAATTCACATTTTTTTTTTTTTTCCTAAAACAGTAAATATTTTGGCCTTTGTGGGCCATAGGTCTGTCTCGGCTACTCAGTTCTGCCATTGTAGTGAGAAAGCACCCATAGACGATTTGTAAACAAATGGCCATAGTATTTTTTTAAAAAACCACCTAAAACAAAACAATTTTACACTTGTAGGCCATACAAAGAGGCAGTGGGGTGGGATTTGGCCCCTAGGTTGTAGTTCTCTGCCCTGCTCTTTTGGCACGGATTACTCACTGCTCATGTCAATTTCCCAAAACATTTTTAAAACCATATAGGCTTTTAAAAACAAAATCTAAAATCTGTACAAGCTCATGTTAAGTGACTAAGATTTTTCAGTGTATGTGAACGTGCATGAAACTGGTAATTCTGTCTAGTGTTCTGCCTTTTCCAGTCACTTGAAAGGACTCTCCCTGTGGCAGCGTATCTCTTTGGTAACTACAAAGTATCCATTAGATTGCCACCACGTAATCCCATTTGAATATTAAATTGGTACCAGTTTCATAAGTCCTACAACACATGTTATCTGACCATATTTTGGTTGTGCAACGTGTATTTGTTGACTAGATTCCCAGAAGTGGAACTGTTGGGTGAAAGGGTATGTATGCAAATGTGATAAATACTAATCAATAGCTCTCCGACAGGCCGTATCAGTTTCCAGACTCAGATCCTTATTAGAATGTTATTTCTAGGGACTATAATATTCCACTATATGGATATATTACAAGTTAAACATGATCTCTTTGCTACTGAGCATTTTATTTCCATGGCTTTTCACTCTAGTGTCTTGTTTTGGTATATAAATCTTTGTTCACATTCCTGTAGATAAGTTGAATTCCTAGTAGATTTACTTGGTCAATAGGCATGTTTCTTAAGGTTGATATATAATGATGGCCAAAAGAAAGAATTTCACTAAGGAATGAATTTGAGGAAAAGTTGAGAAAAGCAGGAAAATTTATTTTCATTGTCTGATACTGATTAGCATCAGGAGGGTGCTGTCTACATATTTGGAGATGTTGTCACAAAAATGCATTAACTAATATTAGATATAATAGTTTGTTGAAATCATATCAAGGTGGAAGAATGAAGGAATAATTCCTGACTAGAAGACATTGAACCTTTGAGTCAAGTTTAGGTCTTTGCTATGTCTTATGAAGATAGGCCTTATTTAGCCAGTGGCACCAGAGATACGTAACTTTCCATCCTTTGTCCTAGACCTCCATAAAATGTTGTGCTTTTGGTAGGGAAAATTACATATTTATTTTTCGAGACATAGTCTTGTACTGTTGCCCAGGCTGGAGTGCAGTGGTGCGATCTCGGCTCACTGCAACCTTCACCTCCTGGGTTCTAGCAATTCTCCTGCCTCAGCCTCCCGAGTAGCTGGATTACAGGCCATGTGCACCCACACCCGGTTAATTTTTGTATTTTTAGTAGAAATGGGGTTTCACCATGTTGGCCTGGCTGGCCTTGAACTCCTGACCTCGTGATCCACCCGGCTTGGCCTCCCAAAGTGCTGGCATTACAGGCGTGAGCCACCACGTCCAGCTGGAAAGCTCATCTTTAAAATTGCATTGCTTTTGAAGATGGTACAAGCCTATACATTTTTAAGCTGTAAAACCTTGAACAATACTGAAGGATGTAAAAACACCAAGACAGGCCAGGCACAGTGGCTCATGCCTCTAATCCCAGCACTTTGGGAGGCTGAGGTGGATGGATCACCAGGACAGGAGACCAGCCTGACCAATATGGTGAAACCCTCTCTCTCCTAAAAATACAAA